AGGTTTAAGTTCATCCTTGCTGTCAACGTTAGAGGTCCGAGGAGCAAGAGAGGCTGACTTTTATGTGATGCCTTCTTATTGCGTGACTCTCAGCAGTGCAGCTCTAAACAATGAGCAGACCTGAGTCTCGCCGGACAGCCGGGTGGGGCCACTCAATAGCAGGAAGCATAGCCATCAACATTTACTCTGCGACAGGGGCAGTCCTGGAGTCGGCGGGCTCGGAGCCTGGTTAGCACAGCGCAACACATAATCTGAGCACGCATACACAAACACTCTGAACAGCCTGCTTCCCCTAAGACCCCTTTTCCCACCCAATGCAATTACAACATAGGCAGACAGGCTGGGCCCTTTGACTGTTTGTTTTACCTCATTGCTTCCTCCTCAGAGTCTGAGCTTTAGCCTCTGTTCAGCCGCTGTTCAGTAACTGTATGCAAATTTAAGCAGAATTCATAATATTAATTACCCAACTGACTTTTTTTTACCTAAACCTTTGGATTTTGAGACAGCTCCTAATAATTAAACATCACCAATTGTTTTTTTTCATTATGTAATTAAGTTACCTGGTAATATTTTTGATAATATTTTGGTTTCCCTGCTTTTTCAGAGATGGGAAGCTCTGCTGTGCTCACAGGGTTGATAGCTGGAGTTATTTTGTGGACGTCTGCCATCCATGGAGGTGAGTTGTCGGTCGGATGTAGAAAATAATTTTCACTACTGTGAGGACATTCCCTTTGTTTCATTCAATTAAAGGTGCATTACAGAGTATTTTTGGTTCTGACGCTAAATCAGATTAGGCTAATGTGAAGGGTCTGATTGCACTGCAGAACCCACTGAGAATGCGCCTCATAGGTATTGTGTGGCATCTGCAGCCTGCACATAGACTGGATGGTTCAGTCTGCTGGTTGTCATAAACACAAGTAGTTGTTTCCAGAAAGCAAGTTGAGACAAGAAGACTGTGCAATACCTGTCAGACGTGAAATGGCAGAATAAACGATGCCTGGTGAAGGTAGTCAAATGCCAACAGCAGGGCTGGTTGAGCTATATCACAGCCTGTCTTCCTCTTAGCTTCCAAAAATGTTTGCAGCACCGTAAACTATTTATGGTTTCTGCAGAGTTCTGCTTGTTTTGGGTTTTTTATAACACATTTATAGCAAAAGGTGTTTTGTGGCTTTTCATGCACACATGCTATACTTTAACATTTAAAGTTATATGTTACCGTATCCATCCACTGAGTCCTTTTTAGTATCATAGTTCAAAAATATGAAAAATATGAAAAGTATCTGTTTATTTAAACCTGTCTAAAAACTTTTTTTTCTATAACAACTATTTACTTAATTATATTTGAGGAAGTAGAGTTTAGAATTTTTACATTTTCTTTCAAAACAAAGATGGATTACTTGAATTTCATGTGTTTTTGGCTTTGTTTTACTGGACGTAATTTGTGTTATTACATGACCAACTTGTTTCAGTGCTGATTTCATGTATTTTCCAGACACCACAGATGATGGGGATCTGCTGTGTGCCTGCAAAAACGACAAAGGCACATGTAAAAATGAAATGTGCAGGGGACATTATTGTTTTTATAACTGGGTGAAAGACGGATATGAGGAGTTGGGCTGTTTCAGTGAGGACAGTGCAGTGCAGTGCTACTCCACCTTGCCCAACTACTTTATGAAGTGCTGCAGAGAGGACAACTGCAACTCCAACATCACAGTGCCTCCAAACATAAGTCAGTACCTAAAGCCCTTCCTTTTCAATACTGGAACATCACATTATCCAAGAAACCAAGAGCTAGTGTGCCCCTGTAAATCATGCTTTTGTCTTATTTCAGTTGGGCCTCTGGCTCATCTCCACAGTTCAGTTAACATCTAGCACTGTTTTGCACTGTAGCTTCCCTTTAGATAGCAGCTGGCTCCCCCTTGTGGTCAGTAAGAGCATATCAATGTCATGCCACTTGAATTTTATCTCATGAGTTTAATCTTTTCAGTTTCTTTGTGTCTATATGTGAGTTTGTTCCTGACTTCTTCTCTGTTTCCAGAAGGGGACTCGACACCGACACCCCCAGGAGCTGGTCACCTAGCGCTGTGGATCTCCCTGTTCCTGCTGTTCTTATTTGTTACTGCCTGTGTCTTCGGCCTGATACTACTCCTGCGCTTCCGACGTGCAG